AAAAAATACCCCCAAAAAAAAAACTTTTTGTAATAAATTTAAAAAAAAAAAAAAAAAAAAAAAGTCATTAGAAATAAATGAGTTAAGAAATTCTGCGACACAAGTTAAATGGCAGGCACTGAGAGAGAGGAAAACTGCATTGGCCTGAGCTGACTGAACGAGATAATTATTTTAGCAAAGCCTTTTGCAAAATAAATTGCACAGAAGTTGAGAAATCTTCTGAAATGAAGTTGGTTGGTTTTTTTTTTTTGTTAAAAAATAAAAATCTCTGGCTCCTTCAAGGAAGTGTGGGGAAAAAAAAAAAAGAAAAAAAAATAATAAGAAGGAGAGAGTGGGTATTGTGTCCTTACCAGCAGTTTGAGAAGCAGAACAAAGCCAGAGACAGTTTCAAAGCACAGCAGCTCTCCCTACTCCGCTGTTTGTTCTGTTCATAACCAGACAAGCTGTTTCCTTTCATCTGGAAAAACTCACAATAAGAAAAAAATACCTCAATAGAACCTGAGTCTGTAATAACAAAGCCCGAGGGGCAGCCAGAAAGCAAGCTTTTGGCCAAGTGCAAAAAAATATTTGGTGTTTAGCTCCTCGGAAGGAGGTGACTGCACCCCTGGGTGCTGTGGCTGCTGGAGGTCGGGGGTTCACCCGGGGGTTTCTCCTTCCCCTCTCTCCTCCCACAGCCAGGAGAAGGCTGGACCCCCTCCAGGGCAGCACGAAAGGCAGCGGAGGAAGGAGGTAACAGGGAGAAGGAAGCACATGAAAGGCTGCACCCGGGGATGAAGAGTCCCCTGAGGAGGGGGACATGGAGGAATTAAAAGCAGGAGCTTTTAGGGGTCCAAGCCAAATTCTGACTCAGGACCTGCGGTTGCTTCTCGGCGGTTCAGAAACCCTGGTAAAAAAAGTCTCTCTGAAATATTGTTTTGATAAATATGCCATCTCCTTGTGGAATTCAAATCTCCAACTGTTCAACTGGCATGGCCATCTCTGCAGCACCGCCACATGCCACAGATTGTGAGTTAAGTTGAATTACATTTCAGATCTGGGGAGGGGAGGATGTCAGTGGGAGGTTTATGAACAGTATGCTCCAGCTCTGATGTTGTTACAACCAGATGGCTTCAGCTGTATCATTTACAATGAAAAAACAAACAACCAAAAAAAAAAAGAACAGTGAAGTTGACAAATAAATCATTAATTCACCTGCAACTGGAACAATCTGAACAAGTTGCCTTCTTCACGGGTCTCATTTCAGCCCTTCCATGACAGCGTGTGTTCTCCAACCTGGCTCCTCCAGCAGGAACCTCCCCATCCTTCGGGGAAAGGGGCTGACGAATCTCTATCGCTTTCCTGTAAATACCTGCTCAGAAAGACGTTGAGGACGGGTGATGTGAACACCCCTTCCCTTTCTCCAAGGAGTTATCTGCTTCCCGGGGCACGGCCGAGCCAGGGACACTCCTCCACCAGTTGGTCACTAACGTGACAAGGATAAAAGGTCTCGTTGAGGTTTCGGGATTTCAGTAAACAACGCAGTTGCTGCGGCGGAATTAGACACCTCTGCGCCACACAGACAACTCCTGCAATTACCTGGCAATGAACTTTTCACGTCTGCACGCAATTATACACTCGAAAAAGCTGGGTTTGAGTTCTGACAGTGCAGTGGGGAGAATCTCGTTAGGACTAAATGCTTTGCTTACCTAAAAGGAAACGCAGGCTAAATCCAATATAAAAGGAATTAGCGGCGTTCAAGCAATAGATGCAACGTGGGAATCTGTGAACCACGTAAAAGGAAGGCTTTACCATCCAGAGGGTGGTGTGTTTGTGCTGAGAGCCTCGGCGGGGGAACAGGGAAAGGGGCAGGGACCCTCTCATGAGTCACTGTTTGATAAAAATAGACGGCAGCTGGATTAAACACCCGAGTGTACGAACGGAATTCTCCTTCACACGAGGGACAAGAGTCTGCGAGAGAATAACACAATAAAAAAATAATAATATCAGAGACAACAGATACCTCATCTATTTTCTTGACAAAACAGACTTATTCTCTGAAATCCATTATGTGCCCTACCTGACCATCTCAAGGTCAGATCAATTTGCCACTCCTCCAGCACCGCGCGTTTCAGTTTAAGCTCCCCAGAGATTTGGGGCTAACGAGGCCAGAAACGGATGGTGTCCGTCCTGCCCAGCCATCCCGCATGGCACCCTCAGGTTATAAAACAGATGGGTAATTAATGCCATTCTCCCTTCCCACATCTAAACAGGTACGGGTAAAAGGAAGGACTAAGGGTCATTTTATTAAACCCAAAGCTCTCTAGTATTTTGGTAATATCCACTATGAGAAATAAAACCAGTTTGCATTGCAATTGTGTGTGCAACACCCCTTACGAATCCCGTTTGAGTCCCAGGAACAGCGTGTCCCTGTCAGTGCCACAGACTGAAACCAAACCTTTCGGGAGTCAGTTTTAAACTGGGAAGTCTTAAAAGTGAAACACCACCCCCAAAAAAAAAAAAAGACGACAGATACCACACAGTACAAAATAGTAATTATTTATATTTTCCAAAAGAAAAAAAAAAAAGTTACCAGCTATTTTGAAACTTCTTCCCTGTAAGAAGAGTGACTAATAGAAAGGAACAGGACTGGCTCCTATACAGTCGGCAAGTCAGGTACAAACAGTTGTTAAGAATCATTTAGCAACTCAGGACAGGGACTTTTGACGCAGCGTTCATGAACAATAAAATTTCTCCTTGTTTTTTTTAAAAAAAAGAGGGAGGAGGGAAATAAAGCAGGGAAAAATGCCAAAAACATTTCCCACAATATCTAAAAACAGTAGCCGTTGTTCTTGTCAGACAGTACGCTCCAGATCAAGGATTTTCTTGTCCTTTCAAAACCAAGAGAGACTTCCCAAAGGCTGCCTTCGGTCTATTCACACCCTCCAGAACACACAGCCTTTCACCGTCCCCTTTCACTTCAACCTGTCATTTTATAAAAGGCTTTTTTTTCTTTTTTTCTTTTTTTTTGTGTTTTTTTTTTTCTTTTTTCTTCTTTTTTTTGCAATTAACATACAAGTGCTACTAACAGAGAAACTGATCTTCTTGTTGCTGGATGGCAATAAGGAGTTACACAAACGTCCAGTTTTTAGCTCAGCTGGAAGGATTTAAATTCTCTTTTTTTTTTTATATAAATACTACTGGAGCTTCCATCAGGTACTTCCTTTCCAGAACCTCACTGGAAATTCTTTTTTTAACCCTCCAAACGCTCTCCAAAGTGAAAATGTCCTCTTGCTCCAGGCATCTGACGATTTGTTCTGTGCTGCCAGACGCAGAGACGTTTTTTCCCCCAGTACCACTGCTGGGTTATTCCGACTTGGGTCGGTGCCTAAACCGAACCCTGTACTTAATTGACTCAGCCAAGTCGAAGGGAACACACAGACGATGCAGCGACAGGGATTCATTAGGTTGAAACAGCCCCAGAGCCCCAGGCCCCACCCTCCCCCCTCTCCCCCAAGTTACTTGGTGCTGTTTTAAAAAGTCTGGGTGTCACGAAGCAGTCTCTTCCCCCCAACAACAGAGTAAAAGCTCCACAGATTTCGCCGTCTACCTGGTGGTCAAGGTTACAGCAGCAACAGCTGATGCTGCTTCCAGAAAAACATGGGGTGATGTGACAGGCCAGGCTTTAGGATTGCTTCAGTCGCTTACGTGGGGGTCCCAGAAAGGGACACTGTGCAGAGGCCAGAGAGCGATACGCCTCGGCCACCAAATGGGGATGTGATACTACCATGGACTTCCAGCCTGATGTCTCCATGACGTCAGAAGCATGACTAGAAATAAAGAGAGAATAAATCTGAAGTTACCAACCAGGGATAAAAAAGGATTAACTAAATAGATTCTTTCCACATACCCGAGAAACCTGACATTTTCACTGTACTGTTTTAAAATCGTTACTCCTCATCCTAAACTGGAACAGAGGAGATTTATATCAGATATTAGGAAGAAATTCTTTACTGTGAAGGTGGTAAGACATGGGAACAGGTTGCCCAGAGAAGCTGTGGCTGCCCCATCCCTGCAGCTGGACGGGGGTTGGAGCAACCTGCTCTGGTGGGAGGTGTCCCTGCCCAGGGCAGGGGGTGGCACTGGATGGGCTTTAAGGTCCCTTCCAACCCAAACCACTCTGATTTTGTGATAGCTCTGGATGTATGTTAGGTATCTTTTGGGAAGATTGCAAGCTTTGGGCTCTGCTGGCAAAGTTGTATGCTGGACAGTCCTTCAACTAAAGGATGACAAGCTCAAACATACACGACCCCAGGGGGAGGACAGCAGGAATACAATGCTCATGTACCCTGACTGCTCAGCACAGGATTTTAAATCAATATAGAAATACTAAGAAAAACTGTAGCGACAAATAAGACGAAAAATATCTCCAGACATCAAAGTAGCCGGTAGTCACTTTACATCTACTGAAAGGGCTGTTACATTATGAGCTGCAAGTAGTCCCACAGTATCAGGAACCATCTGATATTTTACTGCCTAAAAGTTCTGGTGATGAGTTCTGGTGATGTTAGACATTCATAATATCTCCCAGAGACAGAGCTGCTGCACACTCTGAACAGTCCCAGCAGGATGTCGTGGTTCAGTTCTCAAACCAGGACACAGGACAAAACCAACCTGCCCTCAGGGCAATGCCACTCCTGGGATGCCAGATAAATGAAGGATCCCAACGGGAGAATAACAGAGGAGAATCCCCCCTTTACGCAGCACTTCACAAGTTGTGAATCCCATTGGTAATAGACACCACTTTCCTTTAGATTTGTTGCACCCTGGCACCAAAGTAAACTCACTAGTTAATAAAGTCCACCGCTTGAGTTTTGAGTTGATCAGCACTGTGTAGATCAGCCAGAATGAGGATCTCAGCAGCGTTTTCCACCGACAGGTTACTGCACAGGGCATCCTCACACATCACCTTCAGACGTTCGAGAGCGTACTGCAAAATAAAAGCCCAAGTAGGGTTACAGAGAAGACAACACCTCACCAGGCCTGATGTGAAGCCTTACTTGTGCTCCTTCACTCCTCAGTAACAAACTACTCTATTAAGCTGAACAGCTCTCTCTGCAGCTGAACTGTACTCAAAGAAGCAGTGACCAGCAAAAAATAAAATAAAATAGGAGAATCATGATGCGCCCACCCTGAGGAAAAGCAATGGAGAGGAAACATACCCACCATAGCTCTCAGCCCAGCCTTCCTGTGTTACAGCCTTACTGGTGCTGTGTTCATGCCTTGAAATGATAATCTCAGGTCATCTGTAGTACTCACTATCTCAGTTACTTCAAGGCACAGAATGCTAAAACCAAATCTTTATTCTCACTCTATTAGTGCCTGACAGCATCACCCGGGTTCAGTGGGAAGACCTAACAGTGAATGCTCCATAGGTTGGTTCCAGTGAGGTTTAGGCAGCCTTCACTCCATTTTTTTTACCATCAATGACCTGCACATTAAGATCAGCCTTGCTCAAGAACGTGCTACTAGTTTAGTAGTAAAATGTTCAATAAATGCCCCCGGTTTCTTGCAGCTACCCAGCTGGGAACAAAACATCCCAGCATGTCTGTAACACCCTGGCAAAAGCTCTATTCTAACTTCACATTCTCAATCTAAGAGTTTCTACCATTAAATTGTCCTTTTGCCTCAACATTTTAGAGATCCAGAGGGTTGGGCCATGTCAATGCTGAGAAATCCAAAGGATGTTCTCAGAAGGAGAGTGCTGCCTAATGAATTTCATACCCTGCTTTCTGCAGCACTTCAGGAACACACAGACACAGCCAAGATTTTTAAAAGCAACGCACTGGTCTCGGGCAGACTTTGGGAAAGGTCAATGCTCAGAAAACTTGAAGCCACTCATCATCAAGAAATAAAACCCAAGCCCCAAACCTCGATCTTTTTGAATATCATCGCTGGGAATGGTGAGACTGAGATACTTTTGAAAATCTTGGTGTGTGTGATCTGACTCTGAGGTTTGTGGCTCTTTGGGTGAAACAAACTGAGTATTTCTGAATATTCCTGATGGCACGATTACGCTTCCCAGGGATTAGGAAAGTAGTCAATTCTAATGCAGTTCTTCTGTAAGAAATAACATTAGCACTATATAAATTGTCCTAAAGATTAAACACAGTTAAGTCTCCACATTACAACTCCAAATTGAGTGACATTTCTAAAAAAAAAAATCTTTAAGGTTATGAATTTATTTTTTTATCTGACAGATAACTGCATTTGAGAGTATCCTTCATATTGTTTATAAAGCTTTTTTGGACAACTCAGAGACGAGATGCTAAATAACTTCTTCAGTATGTGAGGTCGCATCCAGAAAAGATGCCAGATTTCAAGGACTGCTCTGTCGACCCGAGCAGAGCCAGTAACAAGCTCATCTGCACGATGCCGGGAGCACTTGCCGAATGACAAGCGCTATTACTAGAAATTTATTTTATATTCTGATGGAGATTTTCATCCCATTATAATTACATTTAAATGAATAATTTCAGAGTATAAAAATATTTTTTCACTTAAGGCTGGGCGATAATAATTACTTCAATTGAGGCCTGGCACTCATAAACAGGACAGTTTTCTCCCATCAGAACATCTGAGAAGGCAAATCAAATTTACTTGCTTAATCTGTATCAATAACTAAAACAGTTTCAAATGAGGGGCAAGCCATTAGTTTATATTATTGTCTGTCAGCAGCTTAAAATGCAGCAAACGAAGCTTAAAATTATGCCTTTTGTAAATTGAATATTCTCCTCCACGCATGTACAATTTTTATGTCGATTTTCACTACAAATAGCTCAGCTTCTAATTACAGAGTTGGGCAAAAGTAGCCATTCTGGTCTCTCAGGTACCAAGATTTCCCCTTCCCCCCACTCCCCTTTCTTAATTACACTTAAAAAAACCACCCTACCTAATAGCACACTTACCCAAGAGGCTGAAATAGTATCTCCCGGGTTGAGAAGACGTGCTTTGTTTTGGTTTTGGTCTAATTACATATTTTCCCCAAGAGAGAGGAGGAACTCAGAAGAAGCTGTTTCAGTCTCTTGAGTAAATATTAGATGTTTTATGTGCTTTCATGAAAGATTTTTTATTTCTGCTTTTAAAAGACACACAATGAGTTTAAAAGGAAAAAAACCCTACATTAAAAGCCAAAAAACTCAAAATTAAAGCCTACTCTGTCCTTAATGTACTGCTTCTTACTTACAATTCTCTCAGTTAAAGATGGTATGTGAGCTTTCAATCAATACTCTTTAAATATTGAATAAAATATGTGGCAATGATTATAATCAAGCCAAGAATCTCCTTGCATTATTTCCCATTTTAATTCTAGTCGCAGTGGCCCCAATAATGGCGTATGGAGCATTTCACCTCTAATATCAGCGGGTTTGATGAAGCCCAGGTCCGCAGTGAGAGGGAATTTGATGGCCGTGTGTGTGGTGGCTGCGTGGAACAAGGTTACATGCATCCACAGCTTAAAAATCCACCACCCTGACCGGCACCCAACAAGAGAATCCAAGGCCTGAAGAAGCATGGAGACTGAACTACGCTCTCACCCCTAGAGGTGCTCCCTCCAGGTCAGAGTTGAGGCACATTGGCAGGGCAGTGTGGAGAATCTTGCACTGCTGCTACCCGTGCTGAACCTGTTCCAGGGATAAATTCAGGACTTTAGTCTCCAAGTGCTGTCAAACTGGCACCTTTCACCAGCACTAAGTTCACTTTTAAGAGAAGAAAAAAAAAAAAAAAAGAAAAAGGAAATAAAATTTTGGTTATATATAAGGAATTTTCACTGGTTGATACAGTTCACGGGCCAGCAGAGCACTCTCTTCTGTCCTTGGTGATGCAAAGGGAAGGAGGCAGTGGCTGGCAAGGCCACAGCGCTGCGCCTGCTACACGGGGACTACCAGCAGCCTTCCTTCCCGTCGGACCATCCCCGACACCTCCCTGGCAAGGAGCCTGCAAAACCACAGAGGGGTTAAGGCAACAGGGCTTCCTCCAGTGCTCCCATAAACAGCGGGGATTTGCCACTGCAGAAAAGAAAATAAAACAACAGGACCATCCCGCTCTCGGCTATCCATCACTTTAGAGCATCTCTCGAAGCTGCTGTTACCAGCCAGAGCAGAAGGAGAAGCAGGTCCTGTTTGCCAAGACAGAACACTACTTTTGAGATTTGGTAATAATCCCACAAAAAAAAAAAAAAAAATATTGCCAGGTTCACCTTGACATTTTCTTCTCACCCCCAGTTCTTATGCTAGATCATGCTGAATAGAGACGTCCGCTGAAATCTTGAGAAATCACTTAAAAATGAGCAGTAGACACGGAAATTCCTGATTGTTTTATGTTAAGATATGTATTTATAGAGTTATCTTCTACGTATCTATACTACATCCAGGTTTACCCCAACCAATTCAAAGAATCTGCCCAACACAATGACCACACGAAGTGCTCGCTGCAGCCATCTCCGAGCAGCTCTCTGTAAAGTAAGGTCCATGTCATTCCTGGTTCTGTCAACACCCGTAAATCCCCACTGTACCTTGTCAGCAGCTGCCAGCAAGTCATCAGCCATTTTGTCAAGATTTGGTGCCTTCCCCGTGTAAATAAAGCACATCATTTCCTTAAAAACTTCAGGCTCCACATCATTGATTTCAACCCGATTCTGTATCGGAAGAATGAAGGTTATTAAGATCCTGGTAAGATGCTAAGGGCTTCCTCCTACCCAAGCTCTTACAGTATTCAAATATTTGCTACAGAGAAACTATTCAGAATGCGGACTACTTGCAAAAAAATAAAAATAAAAGATGAGGATGAAATAAGAAAAACTCTAAGTAGTATTTCGCATTCTCTACTTCTCCCTATCCCACCCCAGACTCTTTCCCCAAGAGTAACAAAGATAACAATTGCCTCCTTGATCCCTTTCTTCCTCCCTTCAGGACAGCTGAAGCAGAGACCTGCATCTAATGCGAGAAAAAGAGTTAAAGGGTGACAATAGTCACAAATGCTATCTAAGAGAGTTATCTGCCCAGCGACGCCGAGAGTGGACCAGAGAACTATTCACCCAGCTGAGAGGTTCTCCCTCCTGCAGGAACTTACCTTTTTACTCTCTTCCATCTCATGCTCAAACATGGCGCTGAAAACCGGGGAACGCGCTATGGCAGCGAGGAAAATAAGACACAGTTAGAGATGCTCTTTTACTCTTCAGGAGGAGCTAAGTGTAGCCTGGCAACACCTCAACAACTGCCCTGCTACTTAATACAGGAAGAACTCTACTATGGCAGACAGGGCAAATTGGGTACAACTGGCACAGAAGTAGAGGGTGTGACAATGTCGTGTGGCCAATGTAGCTTCAAAGTGGGTACGGGAGAAATTTCTTATGTCCCTTCACCCAAGGCTGAAGTGTACACAGGCAGTAAGGTGTGCTTCTTGACTTTCCAAGAGAGTATTCCTCTGGAATGTAGTAACAAAGGTGGTAACAGCCTTACAGCTGCTTTAGGAACGTGTTATAGCACACTACAGCCCAAAAGATTCATCCTACCACCCTTGTTGTGGCAGGAGGCAGGCAATTAAAAACGGAGCAGGTATTTCCTCTCCTTGTGGCAGTTCACAAACCAGCCTTTTACTACAGCTCTGCAGTTAAAAGCGCTGCAGATGCCTCCTTCAAAGAACAGATAACTCCAAAAAACCCACTTGCCATCACGTTGTTGTCTCCTATCCCGCTAAGGCCCATCGGAGTCAGTACCGACCTGCCAGGATGGCTTTGTGAGCCTGGAACTCCTGACCCGCCACGCACAGACAGCAGTCCGTGAAGCGGGAGTTCTCCCAGAGGCCTCCCAGCTCGTCCGCCAAGCGACACTCCGGTACCTTCACCATGTTCATCGTGTTCTGCCCGGAGATGTTGACAGAGTCCTGTACCACACTCACCTGGAGGGGAAAAGAAAGCAAACAACCCCCAAGTTTAAAAAATCCACACTAGAAAATCTAAGCAAGTTTTTATTTCCAGGGGTGTGAAGGGAAATGCAAAGCAAAACCCACATCTCTCAAGCAGAATCATTGTATGATTAAAAATGGCTCCATTTTTAAAGCATCCTTTCTCCCCTGCATTAACTTTGCCCTCTGCTCCTCCATAGTGTCCATCCCAAGTCCTAAATCACACCATATTTTCTTCTCAACCCCAAATTAACAGCACTTCTATGCAATTTAAACATAACTTTATAGATGGTTTCCTAAGGAAGTAGAACCTTATTTTTCTGCTTTTACAGACACCATACCTGACCTAGTTTTTTCCTTCCATCAACACTCTGAAACTCTCCCCAATCAATAATGCAATACAGACAGCAGTACAAATGAAAATGAAGTACACAGAGAGCTTCTGTGCACACGCGTGTGCAAGGGCAGTGTCTGATCCCCCAGATGTCTTCCTGTTTCTGGTTCTAAATGTCTTCGAGAGGCCAATGCTTCCACCATATTACAAAATAAAATTTCTTAAACCCTCTAAACAGTAAGTTTAAAAAAGCAGCTTTCTGTCCAGTAATCAGGAAGATTTGGAGAAGGCAGATGGATTCCTTCTCGCCTGCTCTAAAGCACACACGCACCATCCATTGCCGTACGGGCTGATGAATAACCCACACAAAGGGAACCGTTAAGAGCCTGTTCAGCACCGACCCATTATTGTTAAACACGCAGTAAATCATATGCCTTCCACAGCAGACTCCAATTAGAAAAGATCAGAGTGACTAATACTACCCCGCTATAGCAAAGAATAAAGGAAGAAGTGATTGACAGGGAAGCGTACGTGAGACTATTTCCTGGATTTGCTGTCAAGTCCAAGTTAAATTTCAGTTCTATTAATAACCAATGGCCAAAGAAGAACAACCAACAGCAAAGGCAGCTTCAGAGTTATGTAAAAGGAGAAGTAAATTATGAAGGGAGAGAGATGACAGAAGCATCTTTTAAGGAAAAAAAAACCTGCTGACAGCACATACCCCCCACTCTTGAGAAACCTCCTGTGGGTTTCTGGTGGCAGCCACATCTTGTATAAACTACACAATGCTCACGCCCAAATACCAGATGCTGTTGGCCAAAGAATACTAATGATTAGCCACAGCAAACGTGAGGAAGCTAATATTCTTCACCATTAGTTTGACAGCTACAACATCTTTGTGCCCTGTGACATCTAGACCAGCAACATGGACTCAAGGATGAATGAAAATCACAAAGGATGGATGAAGGCCAGGCTGGATGGGGCTTTGAGAAACCTGGTCTAGTGGGAGGTGTCCCTGCCCAGGGAAGGAAAAAATAAAATAAACCCCACAGAGAGGGGGGGGGAAAAACCCCAAAACCAAGCTGTTGAAAGTTCTCGCCAAAATGTTTCCACACAGCAAAACCTTCCCCTCTGACATCACTAAACTTAACATGTAGAACAAACTGGAAGAGAAACCAGAAGACACGAGGGCAGGTGGAGCCAGCACAAGTTTTCTCTCCAACCAGAACAAACCAAACCCCTGAGCGGAAGTTCTGGAAGGGAGTAATTCAGTAAAAAGTGACTCGAATTAGTACCGGTTGCCAAGACAGCTGGTGGATCTCAGGTTTATCTACATCACACCTCACAAATTCCCTTCTTGGACACTAATTTTTCAGTTTCACTCCACAATTATAAGTTTTCTGGCTCTTTTATTTATGAAGGAAAGAGTAATTGCCAGATCGACCGAGGTGACATCCAAGACACTGTCCTCTTCTCCCTCCATATTGCTACAAGTGCTACAGGAAGGGCTCCCTCCATGACAGTAATTTATGCTGTTGATAGAATACACATCCTTTAGGAGATGTTTGCTCATTTAAGTATGTGTGCGCTTATGACGGCCAAAAGAACCCACTAAAAAATAATGTAAAAAAAATAAAATACAGCTGCCAAACAACTTTGACTGAAGCGTTTCTTTCACTCCTGAAAGAAAACACAGCAAAAGAAAAGACTCCCATAGAAAACCTGCAGGAGATCCAAAGAGAGAACAACTTGTTCTACCTGTCTTCTGACAAAAATCACAGCTACAGGAGGCATTTTGTAGTTAAAAAGACAATGAAAATAAGACAGCAGAAGCTCTGAAGACACTCAATTAAGACAGTTTGAATTTTCTCATTAAGGTTTCTAAACCTAAATACCTAGTTTTAGAAATAACTGCCTGTATCTTTGTCTGAAATGAGTATTAGTGAAATAAGATTTTGGTAAGCAGTTGTAGAAAAATACAAACACAATGAACAGAAAATTGTGGTTAATATAAAATTCCTTTATCTTAAATTTTTCTTTTTGTTGGCTGTATAGACACACGTAGGAAAATAAAGAAAACTCTTCCTTATTCAGCAGGCAAGTAATAGGCGGGCCAGTTCCCACTGCAGAGCTAGTGCTGGTTATTATCCCAAGTGAGTTTCAAATTAGGGAATACAAACAGATGGATGATAACACTAAACCAGAAGTGAAATGATAATGAAACGTGCTTAATTCCTACCATCATCACAGGTAAAAGACAAATATAAAGCAACAAAAAAAATAAGTGGAAGTGAAATGGGATGAATCACACAGAGAAAAAGCCACCAGCCACACAGACGCACACAGAGAGGCACAAATAAAATCTAAGTGCCATATAAACATCCAGTATTTCTCCTGGCACCTCTGACTCCTTAAAAGCAATGATGAAAAATAAGGTCACATCTCCCTTAAGCTAATGGAACCGCTATTCTTTCAGCTTCACAGGAAGACTTACCTCACAGAAGAGAGTGAGTTTGTCATCTGGAAGAAGTCCATTGGCCTCATCCAACAGAAAGTCTCTTCTAATAAATTTTTTGAATCCCCAGTCCTTGCCTTGTACGAATCGATACGCTCGCTGGCTCTCTGAAAGAAAGATACAGTGCTTCAAACCCCAGCTGAGCGACTCGCTTGATCAAACAGCAAAAGACAAACACCTGACCCCATCAGACAGAAAAGGGTTTTTTTTTACCCACCCATCGCTTTCGTTTCTTCTCCTTTAGCATTCAGGATGGAGAATTTGAACTTTGCTCGAACTTCACTTTTTGGACAGCTCACCAGCAGCAGATAGAGGGATAGATAATCTTTACTTTCTTCATCCAGGCCTTTAGGGTTCACACGTAAACACCTGTAGAAGCAGGCAGCTGAGTGAGATGGCAGGAACGGGTTATGGCAGGTCATTCACTGCTCTCAAAGAACAGGCATTGTAGAATTTTCACAATAAAATGTACAGCAAACAAGTTCTGTTTAACAGCCACTGGACCCCCAGGAAATAACAGGCAGGTAAACAGAGTGGAACTGTTTGTTACAGTCAGCCTCATGCTACATCTCTGAGGGAGAATATACAGGCAGGAACTATGGGCAAACCAATTAAAAAAAAAAAACAAAACCATGGGGAAAAAAGGAGAGAGAGAGGTATGACTTAAATTACTGAAGAGCACCCTGATGTCAACTGTCACGAAAGAAATAGTAGAATGGAGGCAATGGATTCGAGGAAATCCAGATAAATGGTAGGTAAAATTCCACAGGAAACAACTGAAAGGAAAAATGGATTTCTGGAAGGTTGGTAGTTTCTCAAAAACATAATACCAGGGCAAAAAGAGAAGAATACTCCTTTGTGAAGAAAAAGTAGTAAGTGCAGGAAAAGGCTAACTCTAAAGCACTTCCATGACCTGAAACTTGACACAGAATCTAACAAGAAGCAAAAACTAGGCCAAATGACTAACAGCTCAAACACACAAGGACAAAGAAATCAGAAAGATCTAGACATTAGAATGAGATCTGACTGGGAAAGGTTACAAAGGTAAGTAATTTAATAACAAAAAGCAGTCCCAAGGAAAGCACAGGTCTGCCACCCAAAGGAAGGGAACACAAATTGTATCGCACATTTAAACCACTTTACTATAGATTGGGGTAAAGAAAAATGCTAAAACATTCAGTATCACCAACAAGGGATAAAATAAGGAACCAGGTGTCCATGGATACCCTAGGTTAGATGCGAGTCACAGTAGACACACATTATGACCAAAGTTCACTCTGAGTTACTGGAAATTACTGGAGGACTCAGGGAAGATAAGAAAGGTTTTAAAGGAAAGGAAAAGATAAAGAAATAATGTTATCTTTAAGAGGCAGAAAGAGTTATAGAACATTGTTACTTTGACTATCTCTGTGTTAAGTCTCTGAATTTACAAACAGCGGTAATACAGTAGCAATAGCCTTAACTTGCAGGATTTAGAGTGCAAGCAAAAATTATCTTTTTAACAGCATAGCATACTAGAGTCTGAAACTGGGAGGCTGAAATAGAGCTTTAATACACTGGCTGTGGGCTCTCATTGGCTTACAGGAACTTGTCAAGATAAAATCAATCAAAAAACCCCAAACTTAAGACATTAATAATCCTCCATGGCACGTCTCCTTTCAGCAATGGCTTCTCTTACCACTGATGTTTTCCATTATCAGAGAAACACTGGAAACCATCAGATCCTCACATTGGTTTTGTGTGTTCAAACACCATGCTGAAGCAACAGTACTTTTTCCCTGTGCATATGTTCTACATTCAAGGAAGCAAGAACCCATGTGCAATACAAGTAGTTTTTTACATATTTCCTCTGCTACAGAGCCCCAAATTCTTTCACACAGTTGTACAAACAGGGTGAACCTCTGCTCTGTTTCTTACCATTTGAGTTTATCATTGGCTCCAGATGAAAAGGTTGAGCTTTTGATGACCTCCCCCATTTCTTCTCGGCAGAAGCTAAAGTTGTTTATCGTCCACATGTAGGAAAACTTCACCACCTTGATCTTAAAACAGAGAATAATAGGCGCGTTAGGCTCATACCAATTCACCCTGGCCATCTTAAAGGCAAAACCTGAGAACCTGGAAGTTTTACCGAGTCACTCACTTGACAAACAATGACAAACAACCCCCCCAAGTGCAAGAAAAGCAGTCTGGAAATGGTTGGCAGTAACAGTTGGACCACTCCAGCTTCTCCAACTGCCTCCACTGAAGTTTCACCAAGGGCAGAGGGCAACATTCTACTGTTGCCCTGGAGAACGCTGGGTTTGCAAGTGACATCATCTGAAAATCCAGACACCAAACTTGTTCCAAATAAACTTCTTACCACAGTTTCTAATCACATTATGTCAAGAATATCTTAGCAGAGTGTGGGCTTACCTGAGTGTAGCACCAGCTCTCGGCTACAGGTCCACTCGACATTTCTGCCGGAGGAGGAGGACTCGGCACCCTTGACATCGCCAGTTTGAAGATTAAACAGAATTTCACAACTCAGCAGAAGAAATTTATAATAATTGATCTTCGCCCTGTCAGTCCCCAAAAAGAGGAAAAAAAAAAAAAAGGCAAAACTAAGAACAAAGAGGAAAAAAACTTCAGGAGCACTGTTAAATCTTATGGGACACAAGTTAAAGCCATTACACTTTCTCCCTCCCCCCAGCACCTTCAAAATATGATGTTATATTTAAACATTTTAAAGTGTTACCATATGTTTTCTGAAGACGGGATATACCACCTCCACTCATTCTTTCAATATGCAGCTCCTTATAGGAATAAACCCAGCATATAATTTCCTTTACAGAGTCCAAGACTCAAATAGGAGACTCCCCACTTGACTTGAGATTTACTATTTTACCCTGAGGCCACCATTTCAACTCACTACTTACTCCCTATTTTCACTTTGAGAATCTCAGAATATCAGAGATCAGGCTTGACAAATGAAGTTCTTAATCTGAAAAAGCTACACGTAGCAACATACAACCCAAATTCAAGAGCAAAACACCGGTAGCACCAACAGAGTGATTTCCTATAGTTTAAACCCTCTCCTGAAGCTTTACTATTAGGGAAAGTGTTGGTAATGATTTCTCTACTTCAAATCAAATCCTTTTGGCCAGAGGGAAATTCTCATCACTTTTATGTGCTAGCGAAGTTCCCAACTGCTAAGTGCCAAATCAAATTGGCATCTGCAGAGAACATATGGGGTTAAAACCCCCGCAACGCACCTGAATGAATCCACAGGCAGGGCTGATAAAACAGGCACCTAGTTACCAGCGGGTGGTTTTAAAACAAAACAGAATAATCAACTCATCTCTGACTTCTGAGTCCTGATCCCTAAGGCAGATACACAAAATGTCTTCAAAGATGAGCTCGGAAACTCAGATTCATAACTCTGGCAAATACAAAAGCATCACATGCCTCACAGTTTAGCCTTCTGCCAAACGCTTTCTGTTTCACAGGTGGTTATTTATCTGCCTTCCTCTTACTGCACAGGACACAAGAACTCCATTGCTGTTGGTTTTGAACTCCAAAGGATTAAAAAAGGACGAGTGAAAGGCATAAAATTGTTATCTTGCTATACAAACTGCTTTAAACACAAAGGCTGATACTGAGGTTCGTTGGGGGAGAAAGGCAAAGCAGCGGGTCAGGCTCTTGAGAAAAGCCAAGCCATTAGCTGATGAAAGGAAAGGGTGGAAAGTACAGAAAATATCGAAAAATCCAAAATACCTAAAAATCCCACACCTCAAAAAAAAAGGACAACGTTCGCAACAAGCACATCAACACATATGCACATTATTCCCCCCAAACTGCTGTCAACATAATTTGGAGTCTTTAGATGGGGGGCAGGTCAGTCAGGAGCTAAGAAATAGGTATTTAACCCTATAGAGATGCGCATTTAACTCAGTGGAAATTTATTTCCCGGAGCAAAGCTCAGGGGCAAACAATTAACTCAGTAAGATCTGAACTGCATACAACCAGCACCAATGGAAAACCAAGTGCTCTCAGATAAAACAACTTTACAAACGTCTTGCATTTGCAGCTTGTGCTGTGCATGTGGAATGAGGCGGCGGAAAGTGCTTTAAGAAGGGACATCAATATGCACTTTAGGTAGTTGCTGCAGGTTTTATTACATTAAACTTAAAATTACCACAATCCCTCCAAACAAATTCAATTAAGCCACTCTGTGTCATTCAAATTAAGCGAAAATTAGCAGAGATAGTTTTGCATATTTAGCTAACTGCCCTTCCATGGGCAACACTCAGTCTTGCCTCCTGAGGACATCATCGGACATCATCCCTTCACTGTCTCCAGTCTTTGGAGTCAGATAAAACCTTTGGAGCACAGATAAAACCTAAATTCCATCACTGGCAGCAGGAAACATCTCCATCTCTCCGTGGCTGAGGAAGGGATGCCTTTTTTCCTGGTTTTAGTCTATGGGCAGGAGGGACCCAAGCTTTTTGCATCCCCTCGGGGCTCACAGAAGCACTGCTCAACTCCACCCAGGCTCTCACATTGTTCTGGTCACAGCTATTTTTAATCGACATTATTCCAGTCATCTGTTTTATAGCACAGGGACACAAACGACAGGGACACAAACTCACGAGAGGAGAATAAGCAGTCAGGGAAAGGATGAACCTCACCTCCTCACTGATGGCAACCTGTCTCCGCATGGAGCAACAAGATGCTAAACCTCATGGGAAGGTTTGACCAGAAGAAAGTAAAACAAATAAATCAAACACAAGAGTGGGATGTATAATTAATTTTTTTTTTCCTGTTAAAATTGTAGTTTCAATGATTTTAGTTTTTAACCAACATCTTTCTACTCTAAACTACTTGCAACATGGAAGTATTCCGGTCTCTTTTAAAATATTTCCTTATGCGGAGTGAGAAATAATGCAACTTTTCTTTAAGAAGCATTAGAAGGATAAAGAAAAGATGTAAAATAACTTCCTTAAAATTAACTTTCGAATTCTTTGAAACAATGACATTGTGGCCAAAACAGAGGTGTGAATTAAACCTCAAGTCACAACAAAACAGGGATGTGGTCACAGCCCCTCACCGTGAGACAGGCTGGAGCTCCATGTGAGGAATGGCTGGAGTCAGGGGTGTCCCATCAGCATCTTCCCAGGAATTCCGTGAGGCCACAATAGAGCAGAACAGCCTACTCAGTTGGAAGGGACCCACAAGCACCATCTAGTCCAACTGCCCGGCCAATCCAGGGCTGACCAAAGGTTAAAGCATGTTAAAGGCATTGTCCAAATGACTATTAAACACCGACAGGCTTGGGGCATTGACCACCTCTTGACGTGGCTCTCCAGGAAGGCTGTTCCAGGGTTTGAACCCCCCTCTTGGTAAAGAAAGGTACTGAGGTAAGACTAAGAGGTCTGTAGTTCCCTGGGTCTTCCTCCACACCCTTCTTGTAAACTGGGACATGGGCTGGCTTCCAGTCAGCAGGGACCTCCCCAGACTCCTTTCCTGGTTTTGGGATAATTACAAGGAACAGAGCCAGAAAGCCTGGATAATGAACCAACTTCCATGGAAAGTATTTATCCACAATGAGCAGTTTTCTCTAAAATGACTTCTACTTCCAGGTAAACCGAAGCAATTAAGTATCTCTACACACACATTAGAGAAGTGGTTTAACAGGAAAGGTAATTACACAGTTAAAAGACTCCAGTGGGTCCTTCTTGAAGACAAATTGGTAAATTTAGTGGTAACACCTCCCTTTATGGCATGAAAATGAGGGATTAATGGGGAGGGAAAGAGCAGACAACAACAACAACTTTCAATGTTACAATGGCACATTCATCAAGCCTCTTGGAACACACTGAGAAGCTGAAGGGTTTCCTGGATGGAGGGCAGAAGTTAATACTAAATTCCTGTATCATTCACTGGTCTCCAAGGAGCAAACTCCAGAAGACTGTAGCCATCAATCATATAACTGGGGAAGGCAATGGTTAATTGTGTGATTAAATTTAAACTTTAAACATCCACTTTCTGTATTCCAACAAGATTTTAAGATGTACCTCCATCTTACACATGCAAAGACGCTTTAGAAAGCTTCTGTGATTTAAAGGCAAGATAAATGTATGAGCTTGAAATACACAGGACTATTTAATTTCCTCTGAGTAACTGTCACTTTTATATCTTGTATCCTTTCCTCCCAGATGGCTTGGATAGGCAGGTGGTAATAAAAGTTATGACAACGTGCTAATAGAATTGCTGCATGCCAGCGCATCATTTGTTACGCTTTTAAAATGGCCCAAAAGGGACAAAGGTTCTAGATTTTAAAAATTTTTCTAGTATTTGGAAAATACTTTCAATCTGGTATGTCAAAGCTTCCTCCAGATGCTTTGCCAGGCAGTTAAATACAGTTAAAAAAAGATGTTAAACTCCAACATACCCCAGCTCAATACAGCAATCAGCCATCAAATACTTGTCATCAAATGGTATCACTGGTACTTTTACTGCTGTAGAAAGTCATAATGGGAATAAACAGATAATATCCATCACTTTTGCAAACATTATCAGTAAGGAAAAGCTTGCCATTTGCCTTGCTTTGCAAGCACGGGAACAGGAGAAGCACGTAAAAGGTCAGTGAAATATATCTTTAGAAGTGTCCTGTGGAAACTGCCATGTGCTGTTCCTTTAGATGCTGCATCGCTCTTCTGCCATGGACCAATACTGAACATATTTTCCAAGGAATCACAGCTGATTTAAGGTAAAGTTTCCAAAATCAGCAGGGCACCCCCAGTGTTTATTTGCTCATGAACACTTAATACTTCACCAGTTCACACTTCTTCACTAACGGTGCTGGCACCTCTGAACTCAGAGTGAATTAAAAAGCGCTGCAGGCAGAGGTTTTAGGAAAACATTTCATAAATAGTTTGGATATCAAAATTCTTTCTGGCAAGGAGGGGCAGGGACAAACTTAAAGCTACAGGCATAACTATCAAGTCACAGGAAATAAAATACAAAATATCATCTATGGACTCCTGGGAGCCCATGTACGGCTGAGAGTATCTTACTTCCTTGGCTATAAATAACAAACAGCACTTGTCTCTGGACATACTTAAGATTACAGTTAAGAAAAAGAATAATTCTCACCTCATTCACAACCACTTCCAGATGAAGACATTTTATCTAAGAAACAGAGCCAGACCAGGCCTTTCTGAAGCACAGGAAATGTTGCCTTGCCACCTTGTCCTCCTAATTACCTCCTGACTTCGAAGCTGTACAGACATCTCAGCTCAAAACTTTATCTACTGTAGGAATCAACAGTCAAAACTACTCTGTGAGCAGCAGAGACCTGACCCGAGAGGGGTGGGGAATCTTAACAAATAATTCTAGAAGAAGCCTCAAAATCAGTAGACTTTTGCTTAACAGCCCATCAATCTCTACTTCTTCTCAAGATAAATCAACTACTTTTTAAGAAACCCTGAGTTTACACCAGAAATTTCCAAGTATATTCATTTTCAGTAAGTTTTAATCAGCAAAAGACAACTTAGAGAATTCTGTAAAAGCAGCATAT